TTGGATCACTACCTGTAAGATCTTCACTCAAAACTGCTCTAGAGGAGTTGTACACCCCTAGCTGCCACTGCTATTCATAATGGCCTGAAATCAAATGTATCGTTCCGGATGACAGCTGCAATGTATGATCTTGAGTTCTGATTATAGTTTGCTGATCTTTAAAGGTGTATTGATTTTTTTTTATACTGCTACTGATACTCCTGTTGTTATGGAGTGACTCATGCAGCCAGCTATGGCTGCAAAGTTTGGTCGTACATATTATGTATATCGTTTATTGTTAAATTTGAATCACAGTTCCTATGATCACTGTAACATTGTTTTTATAGCTTTATTTTGGTGATTTTGAAAACGTTTTGGTTTAGCCATGTTTGTTTGTGTAGTACAGATTTATCATAACTTTAATCTAAATTGTCTTATGGTTGTTATTGTTTGACTTGCATCCCACTGGGATTTTTGCACACAGCGTTGAATTAGTGTTTTTCTGGAAGATTTTAGCTGTTTTTTCCTGGATTTTTCTGTTCCGTGTAGTCACTTAAAGATGTTTCATGTTCATGTTTTTGTTTGTTGCGGTTGCACCCGAGTCAAGAGCCGCATTAATCACAGGGTTATCTATATACAGTAGAACCTCGGAGATCGAACGCAGAAGAACTCTAACAAATCGGTGTTTGAACGATATTTCTGAACAATTTTTGCCCCGGAAACCAAACGAAATTCGGAGGTCGAACGGGCAATCACGACTTGAAAGAACCTGTACGGCCGAGACGCATATGGCCAGCGTGCATGACGCTTGCCCAGACAAAGGGGACTCCCCTTCGAAACAATAACACCACCTCCTCCTCACCACCTTCCACTCAAGCCATCAACTCTCCTTACTACAGGTAAAGTGAAGTTCAATGTTCATTTATTTAATATATTTATTCATTTATTCCATTTATTTATTGTTTCTTGTTTTTTTTGTATGATTTTATGCATGTAATTACTGTAAACTTCGTGTAAAAATGCTTTATAATAAGAGATTTCTTGTGTCTGGAACCAATTAATGTCATTTACATTCATTCTTATGGGGAAAATTAATTCGGTGTTCAAACAAATCGGTGTTCGAATGGCCTTATGGAACGAATTAAGTTCGATCTCCGGGGTACCACTGTATATAAAAGGGAAATTTGTGAATGTGTGTTTGTTCAAAATGTTTAGCATACTTCCCGACAATCAACAAACTTTAAATTTGGCATGCGGGTACTTTCCAGAATATACACCATGCAAAAATGTTAAAAATATATACTTTTTTGGGGGGGGCGCAATAATGGATATATTTTGCACGGCAAGTGAGCTGTGACGTCATATCTCTGTCATGTCACCCGCAAGCGGAAGCGTTACGCAGTGTGCCTGCTAATGTCACGCATCCCCCCCCCAACCCTCCGCGAGTAAAGTGCCATACAAATGTGTTGCAGGTCTAAGGCGTTCTTCGCCCAGCATTGGTTTCTTTTTTTAGTCGTTTACTGCCGTACGCACCCGCAAAGTTTTGTGTGTCTGCAGCAAGCGCGTGTATGTGTACCTATGGACGCGCGCGCGTGTGTGTGGGGGGAGCGGTAGTGTAGTGGTTAGCGCGCTGCACTACGAACCCGGCGACCCGAGTTCGATTCCCGCTCACGGTCACCACCGGTGACGATTATTCGAACCGGTCCTGGGCCTCCCCCAAGTCGACTCAGCCTCAAACGAGTAACTTAGTGTGGTGTGTGAACATCGCCACTGGGGAGACAAAGGCGGCCGGGCCTGGTGAATCCAAGTCCCGGGCGAAGCCGGGTAGTAAAGCTAGTACCTAATAAATGAAACTGAAGTTGTGGTGTTGTTGGTGTGAAAAAAGGGACGTTGGTGTGAATAAAGGGGCGTTATTGCAGCCAAGCTTGTGGTGTCTGCATTTTATGAAGGGCGAGCACCGGAAAGACACCGTGTGAATGGATGTGGCGGAATAGGAGTGAAAGACCTACAAAGACAAAGATCCCCCGTATAAACTTTAACAGATTGTTGGACAAGTGCTGTTAGCGAGCAAATATAAATGCCGGAACGGCACACAAGCGGGTGGGTGGCCAGCACCATGCCCGGCTGCCTTTGTCTCCTCAGTGGTGATGTTTTTACACACCGCACCAAGGACTAATTTGAGGCTGAGTCGACCGAAGAGAGGCCCAGGAGACCCAGGACCAATACAGATAATCGTCACTGGTGTTGGCCGTGAGCGGGTTCGTAGCGTTGCTCGCTAAGCGCTATGTTACCGCTCCCAACCTCCTCTGCCACACACGTGGCCGCGAATGGGGTCACGAAGGCAGCTGGCCCCTTCCAGTGGACTCCTCCTACGAGGGCACCGGCGTCACGGCGCCACTCTCACCTGCAGGAGCGCAGCATGCAGCACGGGCAGCGGTACTTGGCGAGGGCCTCTGCGCAAACCTCACAGCTGCCCAAGAGCACATACCACAGACACACACCGAGTTCACCAGGTGAGAACTCTCATCTAGCAATACAGACCTGGGTCAACAAAAATGACAAGCGCAAGGGCATAAAAAACAGTGCGTCTCGATGAGTGCGTGTTAATGTGTGGTGCAGCGACCCGAGTTCGATTCCCGCTCACGGCCAACACCAGTGACGAGTATCCGAGCCGGTGCAGAGCCGGTTCTGGAAAGCCCCTAGGTCGACTCAGCCTAAAAATGAGTACCTGGTGCGGCGTATAAATTAATCGCCACTGGGGAGACAAAGGCGGTCGGGCGTGGTGCTGGGCAGCCAACGCCTCGTGTACCGTGTTGGCCTTTATAGGTGCTCGCTAACAGCACTCGCCCCAACAGCCTGTTAAGTTTATGCGGGGGATCTTACCGTCTTTGAGTACCGTCTCTATGAGTGTCTATGAGCGTGTTTCTCCACGACAATGCCTCTACGAGTGAGCGTGTCTTTATGAGTTTCTCCACGAGAGACGGTGCCTCAATGGGTGTGAGTCTATGGGGAGCGGTAGTGCAGCGTCTAACGCGCTGCGAAACGAAACTGGCGATCCGGGTTCGCTAACAGCACTTGCCCCAATAGTCAGATTATGCTGTACGCGGGTTTTTTTTGTCTTTACAAGAGACGGTGGATCTATGAGTGTGAGTGGATCTGTGTAAGTGTCTCTACGAATGTCTCATTGTGTCTCTCAGAGTGTGTCAGTGTGTGGGAGCGGTAGTGAGCGGTTAGCGCGCTGCGCTATGAACCTGGCGACCCGGGTTTAATTCCCGCTCACGGTCAACACCAGTGATGATTATCTGAACCGGTCTTGGGCCTCCCCTAGGTCGACTCAGCCTCAAATTAGTACCTGGTGTGGTGTGTAAACATCGCTACTGGGTAGACAAAGACGGTCGGGCGTGGTGCTAGCCACACACCCCCTCGTGTACTTTTCCGGCCTTCATAGATACTCGCTAACAGCACTTGCCCATACAGTCTGTTAAGGCTATACAGAGGATCTTTGTTTTTTGTGTCTCAGTGTGTCTCCGAGTGCGAGTGTCTCTGAGAGTGTCTCCGAGTGTCTCTACGAGTGTGTCTCTGTGAGTGTATCCGAGTGCGTGTCTCTACGAGTGTCTCTGCCTCTCACCCTTCTTTCTGCTCAGCGTGGTAGCTTTTGGGCGCCGCCATTGCTCGCCGTCACGTGATGAGCGGTCGTGGCACGTGGTGACGAGGCTGGCTCCTCCCCTGGGGTCGCCTCTTCCATTTCCGGTAACCGATTAAAAAAACGGTTATCGATTTTTCTCACGAACTTTATATTGCAAATATATTGAGATATTTTATCTTCATAGATATATAGTTGCTGAATGTATAAAGACAGACATAACAAAGGCAATACTTTTTTTATTCATAAACTAGCTTTACTACCCGGCTTCGCCCGAGACTTGGATTAATACACGGCCTACGCGGAGGGTGGGGGGTGGGTGACGTCAGCAGGCACATTGCGTAACGCTGCCGCATGCGGGTGACATCACAGATGGGACGTCACCGCTCACTTGCCGTGCTAAATATATACATTGCGCCCACCCCAAAATACAAAAGTCTATTTTTATACTTTTTGCAGTGTACAGTCTGGAAACATGCCAAATTTCAAGTTTGTTACATGTCGGGAAGTATGCTAAACATTTCGAACACATTCACAAATTTCCCTTGTATATAGACTAGCTTTACGACCCGGCTTCGCCCGGGACTTGGATTCACCACGCCCGGCCGCCTTTGTCTTCCCCAGTGGCGATGTTCACACACCAGTTACTCGTTTGAGGCTGAGTCGACCTAGGGGAGGCCCAGGACCGGTTAAAATAATCGTCACCGGTGGTGGCCGTGAGTGGGAATCGAACTCGGGTCGCCGAGTTCGTAGCGCGGCGTGCTAACCGCTACACAGCTGTGCCGTGCAAAATATATGCATTATTGTGCCCCCACCCCCTAAAAAAATACAAAAGTCTATTTTTATGTTTGCATGGTGTACAGTATGGAAAATACCGACATGGCAAAGTTCAAGTTTATTGCATTGCATGTCGGGAAGTACGCTAAACATTTTTACCAGAAACATTCACAAATTTCCCTTTTATATATATCAATAGTAAATATATGAAGAGAGTTGCCAGTGGTGGAATACTGACAGCGCAATGGACTTGAAAGTGTACGTTCGATTCCCCCTCCGGCGCGGCAGTTGAACAAGGCGGGGAAGGGTGCGGGCACTCTCGTCTGGCGTTACACGCACCGAGTCCATCATAGCCATCATCACCAACCACCACACCCATCACCACCACAACCATCATCACCATAACCAATGGTTAACACATCGCACTCGGTACTCAGCCCAGGACCGGTTCAGATCTACAAGAAATCGTCACTGGTGTTGGCCGTGAGCTGGAATCGAACTCGGGTTGCCGGGTTTGTAGTGCTAACCACTACACTACCGCTTCCCATACAATCACTACCAACCACAATTATAGCTGGTACCAACAGACACCAAGCAAGCGTAAGAAAGCAAACAGCTTTATTACAACGCTCGCTCGGCGAGTCGAAGGCGCAGCACAGCACCCCAACTACTGCTGGACCCTCGCGCCGAAGACCGCGCAGATGAGGGGGCGGCGTCTCCCCTCTGCCCATGGCGTTATTTATCTTCTCCACAGCGACGCCGACATTATCTTGTTATGCATTACATAATTATGCAGTTGCGCTTTGTGTCAGACTAGCACCCATACACCACAGAGAGGGTCTTTGCCTATAAACTTCTGGCAGTTCACCATAATTGTTTCACACGAGCCTGACCTGTTGACGGGACACTAAACATCGAAACCAGTCCAGATATTTGCTTTTATTAAACCAATGGTTCAAGCAAGCTTGGCTGCTGATGGAGACACCGAATGTCAAAACTGGCCCAGTGTTGCTCAAGTTGCATCAACGATGCTGAAGTTCGACGCTACCAGTGTGGCTTTTGGGTGTAAGAAAAACGCGTAAACACATCATGCGCAACCTTGACAAGTCTGACAGCACCCCTCGCACATTCACGCGGCTGGATGCGCATGTTGGGAGCACGAGATAGATTTCGATTCACCGAGTCTCAAGATCATTTTTTTTCAGGAAGCTGCTGCCAAATTTTGGCCATAAATTGGTAATGCTGCTGTTGTGTGTGATCCCAATAAAGTAATTTTCAAGTATTTTTTAGCATTGGGATGTTTGGCCAATGCCAGTAAAAAAATTTAGCTTTGGGAGGAAACCCACACAGAACGGGGAGAACAAACAAACTCCATACAGAAAGGTGTGGAGTTTTGACTGCTGACGCTGCGTACAGATCAGCTAATGAATGACGAAACAGACTAAACCCACTTCATCATTCTGCTCTTTCGATTTGCACTGGATGTACCATACAGAACACACCATTGTGATCTGTACTCAATCTCAACATCACTTGGTGCAAAAATAAATCTACGTTGGACCCTGTTAATCCAATAAAATTCTAATTGGCAAATCTGTGTTCTGCTTAGCTAATTCATTCACCCCATTGTCAAATCCAAGACGTCCATCTAGTTGCCTTTTATCTATCCCAAGAATAAGAATTGGAATACGTGAAAAAGCCTTTGCCGTTGCAGCACCAACATTTTGGAACAACCTTGTTTGCTCCCTTCACATCAGAAATCTTTAAAACATTCTGAAGCAAAAGATTAGTGCTGGATACAGCCATATTTGCCAATGTGATTTGTAACTTTGATCATTAGCCACGTATTGATAGTTACATTTGAATGTAAAATTGTATTGAGGGGCTGCGTGCTGTCTTGGTGTGGTCTGGGACTCCTTTTTCCGTTTTGCAGCCTTTCCCAAGCTTGGAAACTGATGTACTTATGTAATTTGAACTTATATACTTAATTTTTTTATTTAAGGGGCACCACGGTGGCATGATGTTATCTTCCTTGTCTGGTATGAAGGTTGGGGGTCCGATCCCCACCCTGATGTCTGCTGCTGTATATTTGGAGTTTGCGTGTCTCTCTCTCACCGTGGTCACGTGGATTTTTTCTCTGGGTCCTCTGGTTTTTCCATCCACATTTATAAACACGCATTTAGATTTAGATTATTTGGCTGCTATATGTTCTCACATAAGTCACTTCGTTGAGTTATCACTTTTGAAAAGCTAAAAGCTCAGTAGGACTTACCTGGTAAAATAAAAATGGTTCAGTTTTGTAGATTTTTGTGATTTTGCTTACCTTTCTAATACTTTGCACTCCTATCGTGTTTCTGTTCTGTTTGTTGTTGTAACGTTCTGACTTGCCCTTACTGGACATTGCGAAAAAGAGCTTTATAGCTCATTGGATTCCTATTAATAAATATTCCGATTCTAAAACCCAGGCGTGCTTTCTTGCCGTGAGGCACATCACCACTGCGCTGCCAACCGGCCGCCCTGGAGAATTGAATCTGACAGTCAACAGAGTTGTGGTGCAGGTTGGCTCAGGCCAGCTCAGGCTCTTTAAGAGACCGTCTTGCTGAGGTTGGAGAAGCCGATGCCGACACACGTGAGCAGGACCTTGTCGCCTCCCTTCTTGTCTCCCTCCTCGGCCGTGCGCGGCTCCAGCTTGAACGTGACGGAGAAGTAGTCCCGCAGGTGGCGGAGGAACCCAACTCTGCCGGAAGGGAACGGAGAGATGGGGGCGCAGCACGCGCGGGTTTTTAAACGGCTGGCACCAACCCGTTTCGGAGGGGGGGGGAAGGGCGTTCTCTGCGCTCGTTGCAGAGGTTAGCGGTCCAAACCTGCCAGGACGCCCTGGTTAATACTGCGGTTTTAGTCTCGGTGGACGTTAAAAAGATCCTGCGACGTCATTCGAAACAAGTGGGCCATCGTGTACACAGCTTGTTGACCCAAGAAAGCTACATGGGGTCCTAAGGATGTTTTTCAGGGGGGTCCTGGGGGCGGGGGCAATGTTTCTGCTGCTATGTCTGTGATCTCGATTGAGTCAATTCCAGTGTCATTTTTCAAATTTGCCAAACTTTTGACCGCGACGCCTACACGCAATGGCCTACTCGAATTCGAACGGCTTAGCAAAGCAGTCAACGTGGATTGCACTGAGCAACATGACCCCCCGACTGAAAGACTCTGTGAAACATGGCGCTTTTGTGACATGGCTGCACAACACATGCTTCGCTCAACCAGGACTGGCCTCCACCAGCCTGGTGCAGGCCATGTGGAGGGGATCTCCGTGTTGGACATCTGTGAATACTAGACGTCTGTGAAAAATATATTTATAGCTCATCGGATTCCTCCAGTAGAAATATTCTGATTTGTGTGTGGACACTCACGTGTGTGGAGAGAGGGGGCCCAGAAGGAGCTTTGACACGTCCTGCTGGCCCAGGGCCATGAATAGGAGCGCCAGACTCTGATTGGTCGAGTCCACACACCCGCCCTAAACACGACACAGCCACATCATCACGTTAAAGAGCGTCGTCAAATTGTACGTGCATATGTATGTGTATGTTGAACTTCTTTCTCGCCGTACGTAGCCAACCGCGATCATCGGAGGTGCGTGGGGGAAGGACAACAAACTAACCACAAAAAGCAGTTCAAAATAAGTTTGCAATCTAGATGATTGCAAACTTGTAGTGATTGCTATATTGGGGAGACGAAACGACATGTCTCTGACCGAATTCGCGAGCACAAATCAGATTTGAAACACGGCAGAACGAATTCTTCTGCCGTAGCTGATCATTGTTACAACGCTGTGGGTGATCACGATATAATTTTCTCCGATACCAAGGTCCTTTGCAAACCGACAGGTTATCATGAAAGATTTATCCACGAGGCAATTCAGATTTACAAACACAGACACAATTTCAACCGAGAAGAGGGTTTCAAATTAAGCAACCATTGGAAAGATGTTCTAAATCGAACCAAACATTAAACTAATTTTCAATGGTACAGTATATTTATTCAGTAGTGGCACTCTAAACTTCCAAGGTGGCGTATTATCACCTTATGCTAATTTCAAGCTTTTTCAGTAGTACGTTTTATGCTAATTTCCTTTGTCAAGGCGTTTACTGTTTACCCCCTCACAGCTTAAAAGGAGGCGACCAGCGCTTGGCTTTCTTTACTCCAACGCTGTCCGCTGGACAGTTTGGTCCCTTCACCTGATGAAGGCCACTTGTATTGTGGCCGAAACGTCGTGATTTTTGTTGTTTTATTTTTTACCTACGTGACTTTACCGAATAGAACCAAAGAGTATAGCCAGCCTAAAGCCGCTGTTGCTGGGAGGATGTCCGGAGTTTGTGCGATGATGCTTTATGCTCCCTCTCCCAGGCAGCCACAACATTCATCGTGGCCTCCTCACACCAAGGGTGCATTCTTTTTTTTCAAAACACAGATGCCGAGCCAGGACCCAAAGGCAACAAAACGTCAAACGGAAGGCCGCCACCCAGCAATACCAACATTGTTCACAAAGTGTATTTGGAGGTGTTGGCAGTACACCGGTGCAGCATAACACACCGGTCCTCATAAAACAGTCTGAAATCTAAATTTTAATCAGCAAATCTGTTTATCAATTGACCATTGATTTGGGTCTGTTAAAATCGAGGAACCGTCCGACCAAGTCAGGGCACAAGGAGTCAAATCTGCCTTTGGAGCACGGAGCAGCCAATCGTTATCAGGCTGGATGCTGCTATACGGCAACAGACTGTGAAGCTTCGTGTTCAGCCGCTCACGTAACGTTTGTCTTCCGACTGCCTCGACATCGCGGGAACTGATTTTGATGCACCACCTCGGATGATTATCCGACCGGGGTTACGAATCGCGGGAAAGATAATAATTTTTTCCAAATTTTTTTATTTTTTTTATACCGAGCACTGCCAGTGCACCACCAATACGTTCATTTAATGTGGCGTTGCCAGTGGTGCCTTATATAACTGGGATCCCATAACATTTTAAAAATACATTTCTCTCCAGGGCCCCCCGGGCATAAACTTGTGCAGTCTCCAACTCTTATCACCCATGCGCCATCACCTCTCAACCCCCCCCCCCCCCCCGCCTCTGTGTGCTATGAAAAAGAGTCATTGCTCAAAACGTCACCGATTATAATTTGTTATTGAGAAATGCGTTGAGAACTTTTCAAAGTTATAATTACGAAGAGTTAAAGCGTTTCTTCACCCTGCGTGAGAGCAGCAACAGAAGCAGGATTGCATCTCAGGCCACGTGTCTGCTCTGTGTGGCAACAGCGATTGTTCAGTCAGAGACGAAGGCTTCAGCGACGGCTCCGTGGAGGTGGTGGGTCACACCAGTTCTTGAGATCCACATTCTTCATCAAGGCTCACCTCAGGCTCAGCTCTGGCTGAAGCGAGCTGGCTGAAAGCTATGCACTTGAGCTGGCTCTGAGTCTGGTCCCAGGCACACTCAGGCTTCCCATGAGCTGTCTGTATTTAAGTATGCTGAACTGATTTCGAACCATACGTAGCCAACCGTGCTCACCAAAGGTGCAGGGGAACGACGACAAACTAAAGAGATTCAAAAGTGCGTAGCTCCAGTGGTTTCCTAATATCTGAGCAGGAGCCGGAGCCCTAGCCATGGCTGCGCCACCCGCGCATCTCTGGAAGCGACCAAGTAGCTCCACCCCGAGGCCGAGCCACGGCTGAGAACCCGGGCCAGGGGCATTCACTGAGGTCACTGTCACGGCGATACCTCCCCTGTTTGTGGAGCCCCAGGTGATGCGCAGGAGGAGCGATGCCGCCACTCACCCTGTAGATCTCCTCCAGCAGCAGCCGGGCGCAGTCCCTGCCCAGGTCCTCCGGGATACTGGGGGGGCCTTCGCCCCCCGGAGTTGAGGTTGACTCCGCACTCAGGAAACACCCCTCCGTGGTTTCGGCGACGAGCGAGATCCCGAACCCCGGCGACCTGAGGGAGCGGAGCCGTGCCGTCACTGCCATGCCCATTACAAGTACCGCCACGCTCGTTCACCCAAGAAAGCCTCAAGGGTCTCTTTGCCAGAAGGGCTTTTCCAAGTTTTTCCGGTAGTAAGGGGGGGGCGATGTTTCGTCATCCCAATTTACTAATTTCCAGTGTTATTTTTCAAATTTGGACCATGACGCTGGCACACAATGGCCTCCTTAAATACAGTAAGGGAAAAAATATTTGATCCCCTGCTGATTTTGTACATTTGCCCACTGACAAAGAAATGATCAGTCTATAATTTTAATGGTAGGTTTATTTGAACAGTGAGAGACAGAATAACAACAGTAAAATCCAGAAAAACGCATGTCAAAAATTTAATAAATTGATTTGCATTTTAATGAGGGAAACAAGTATTTGACCCCCTCTCAATCAGAAAGATTTCCGGCTCCCAAGTGTCTTTATACAGGTAACGAGCTGAGATTAGGAGCACACTCTCAAAGGGAGTGCTCCTAATCTAAGCTTGTTACCTGTATAAAAGACACCTGTCCACATAAGCATTCAATCAATCAGATTCCAAACTCTCCACCATGGCCAAGACCAAAGAGCTCTCCAAGGATATCAGGGACAAGATTGTAGACCTACACAAGGCTGGAATGGGCTACAAGACCATTGCCAAGCAGCTTGGTGAGGTGACAACAGTTGGTGCGATTATTCGTAAATGGAAGAAACACAAAAGAACTGCCTGGGGCTCCATGCAAGATCTCACCTCGTGGAGTTGCAATGATCATGAGAACAGTGAGGAATCAGCCCAGAACTACACGGGAGGATCTTGTCAATGATCTCAAGGCAGCTGCGACCATAGTCACCAAGAAAACAATTGGTAACACACTACGCCGTGAAGGACTGAAATCCTGCAGCGCCCGCAAGGTCCCCCTGCTCAAGAAAGCACATATACATGCCCGTCTGAAGTTTGCCAAGGAACATCTGAATTATTCAGAGGACAACTGGGTGAAAGTGTTGTGGGTCAGATGAGACCAAAATGGAGCTCTTTGGCATCAACTCAACTCGCCGTGTTTGGAGGAGGAGGAATGCTGCCTATGACCCCAAGAACACCATCCCCACCGTCAAACATGGAGGTGGAAACATTATGCTTTGGGCGTGTTTTTGTGCTAAGGGGACAGGACAACTTCACCGCATCAAAGGGACGATGGACGGAGCCATGTACTGTCAAATCTTGGGTGAGAACCTCCTTCCCTCAGCCAGGGCATTGAAAATGGGTCGTGGATGGGTATTCCAGCATGACAATGACCCAAAACACATGGCCAAGGCAACAAAAGATTGGCTCAAGAAGAAGCACATTAAGGTCCTGGAGTGGCCTAGCCAGTCTCCAGACCTTAATCCCATAGAAAATCTGTGGAGGGAGCTGAATGTTCGAGTTGCCAAACGTCAGCCTCGAAACCTTAATGACTTGGAGAAGATCTGCAAAGAGGAGTGGGACAAAATCCCTCCTGAGATGTGTGCAAACCTGGTGGCCAACTACAAGAAACGTCTGACCTCTGTGATTGCCAACAAGGGTTTTGCCACCAAGTACTAAGTCATGTTTTGCAGAGGGGTCAAATACTTATTTCCCTCATTAAAATGCAAATCAATTTATAACATTTTTGACATGCGTTTTTCTGGATGTTCTTGTTGTTATTCTGTCTCTCACTGTTCAAATAAACCTACCATTAAAATTATAGACTGATCATTTCTTTGTCAGTGGGCAAACGTACAAAATCAGCAGGGGATCAAATACTTTTTTCCCTCACTGTATTTATGTATAGTGGAGGAATCCGATGAGCTACAAAGCTCTTTTCTCACAGATGTCCAGGAGGACATGAATGATGCCACCGGCTCTTTCACGTCCAATGCGAATTAAGACGGCACACGGTATTTTACGGTTAATCCATCTGCAGTAATAACCGAGATGGCCTGCCGGAGTTGAACCACGAACCTCTACAAGGAGCGGCGAACACGCTACCGCCGGGACGCGTCACCGCCTGGCACCTGTGTGACTGGGAGGCTATCACGGTGGTGCTGGCGCCCGTGTGTGTGACTGGGAGGCTGTCGGGGTGGTGCTGGCACCCGTGTGTGTGACTGGGAGGCTGTCAGGGTGGTGCTGGCGCCCGTGTGTGTGACTGAGGGGCTGTCGGGGTGGTACTGGCACCCGTGTGTGTGACTGAGGGGCTGTCGGGGTGGTGCTGGCACCCGTGTGTGTGACTGAGGGGCTGTCGGGGTGGTGCTGGCACCCGTGTGTGTGACTGAGGGGCTGTCGGGGTGGTGCTGGCGCCCGTGTGTGTGACTGAGGGGCTGTCGGGGTGGTGCTGGCACCCGTGTGTGTGACTGAGGGGCTGTCAGGGTGGTGCTGGCGCCCATGTGTGTGACTGAGGGGCTTTCGGGGTGGTGCTGGCACCCGTGTGTGTGACTGGGAGGCTGTCGGGGTGGTGCTGGCACCCGTGTGTGTGACTGGGAGGCTATCAGGGTGGTGCTGGCGCCCGTGTGTGTGACTGAAGGGCTGTCAGGGTAGTGCTGGCACCCGTATTTGTGACTGAGGGGCTGTCGGGGTGGTGCTGGCACCCGTGTGTGTGACTGGGAGGCTGTCGGGGTGGTGCTGGCGCCCGTGTGTGTGACTGGGAGGCTGTCGGGGTGGTGCTGGCGCCCGTGTGTGTGACTGAGGGGCTGTCGGGGTGGTGCTGGCGCCCGTGTGTGTGACTGTGGGTCTTGCCTCCCCGCCTGCGCCCCCTTGCGGTGGTCCGTGTGGATGTAGATGTCGGGTAGGAAGCGGTTGAGGACTCCGCGTGCCGCCTCCACCAGGCGGTTGGACACTTGGGGAGACACCCGCGTGCCGAAGCTGTGGCGCACGCTAAGGAAGTTAACCTCGCTAAAAACAGATGGTGAGTGGTGGTGGTGGTGAGCGATGGTGGTTAGCGGTGGTGGTTAGTGCCGGGTGGTGAGTGGTGGTTGTTAGTGCCGGCTGGTGAGTGGTGCTGGTAAACACTGGTTGGTGAGTTGTACTGGTGAGTGTTGGCTGGGGAGTGCTGGCTGGTGAGTGGTGGTTAGCAATGGTTGTGAGCAGTGGTGGTGGTTAGTGCTGGCTGGTGAGTGGAGGATGGTGAGCACTGGCTTGTAAGTGGTGCTGGTGAGTGCTAGCTGCTGAGCGGTGGTGGTGTTTAGCGCTGGCTGGTGAGTGGTGGTGGTGGCTAGTACTGGCTGGTGAGTGGTGGCGAGGACTGGCTGGTGATTAATACTGGTGAGTGATGGCTGGCGAGTGCTGACTGGTGGGTGCTGGTGGCGAGTGCTGGTTGGTGAGCAGGATACGCCACTCCGCGGATGCGCTTGATCTTCCCCGGCTGCGTGAGCTGCAGGGGCTTGAGGTGGCGCCGCACAGGGCAGCAGAACAGGACCAACCCCCCCCCTCCCGGGGCCATGCCCCTCCGCAGCACCTACACACGGGGAGCGACACACACAGAGTGACACACGTGGGGAGCCATGAGCACGGAGCGACACATTCACTCACACAGTACAAGGTGAGAACATATAAACTGCACACAGAACGGTGCCTGATATGGAAATCGAACCCAGGTGTTGTGTTCGCGCTGTGTACCACAACGTGGCCTCGTTTACCTGCAGATCCAGTCCGACCTCCCCAATCCCGAACCGGCGGAGCAGAGGCAGCGCCGTGGCCTTGATCACATCCACCTACATGGGAGAGGTGGCTACGTCACGACACCACGTACACATCAACGTCACACCACACGGAGACATCACGACAACACGCGCACCGAAGTGGTGACGTCACACCACAAGAAGAGATGGGCTGTGGTACAGGAGAATGTGGCGCTGAGTGGAATTGGCGATGGTTAGTACCAGCGATGTCAAGATCAACCTCTGTGGAGGCGGCTGTTGTAGTACGGAGTTAGACTGACGGCCTTAATCTAAGTTTTCTTGTGGTTGTTGTTTTTACTTGCATCCCACTGGGATTTTTTGCACACAGCGTTGGTGTACGGTGCTTTTTTCAGGAATATTTTGCTGTTTTTTTTCATGGATTTTCTGTTTGCACAGTCACATAGTCACTTTAAGATGTTTTCTTGTTCGTGTTTTTGTTTTTTTTGTTTGTTGTGGTTGCACCCGAATCAAGAGCCGAATGGCTTACAGGGCTATACCAAAATAAATAAACTGAAAACTGAAACTGAAGGCTCGAGACAAATGCTACTGGACAATTGGGAGGCAGTCGCCCTCCAACAACCGCAGAGAAGCAAATGCTCACGAGCAGAGCGCCAGGTGGTTAAAACACAGCACAGTGGGGGAGCGCAGGTGTGCATCTCCCAGTCAAATTTTAAGCCTTCGACGCTTCACACTGACTCAAAGTGCACCCAGCCTTGATACGATTGGCGGCTGTTGTTGTTTTGCGCGTGCGTGCGTGTGCTTCTGTGCGTGTGACGTACGGAGGGGTCGTGCGTGCCACTGGTCGCGCCCGCTAGCGAGGCTCTCAGTGGCGTCTTGCAAAACGGCGCAAGGCAAAGCAGCGCCTCCAGGAAGTAGCCGACGCTGCGTGAGGCCGGACACTCGTGCTCCACGGGGCCACCCCACAGCAACCCGGGATGAAAGCGCAACATCGTGCCTACACAAAGACAAAGATCCCCCGTATAGCCTTAAAAGAATGTTGGGGCAAGTGTTTTTAGCGAGCACCTATGAAGGCCGGTACGGCACACGAGGCGGTGGGTGGCCAGCGCCCAACTGCCTTTGTCTCCCCAGTGGCAATGGTTACACATCGCACCGGGTACTCATTTGCGGCTGAGTCGACCTAGGGGAGGCCCAGAACCGGCTCAGATAATCGTCACTGGTGTTGGCCGTAAACGGCAATAAAACTCTTGTCACCGGGTTCATAGCATATTGCAGCACACTACCACTCTCCACACACACGCAGTTTAGGAACGTGGGTTACGAATGAAAACAGTGAACAAAAACCTAAAGCGTGCGCAAAACACGGAGAAACATCGCGCTTAGAATTCTATTGAGACGCGAGGAACTGGTGGATGATTGACAGTGCACGGAGTTAATGACGCCACCCAAACTCGCTCGACGCGAATAACGGGGCTTGGGCGGGATGCATCACGGCTGCAAGGGACGATGGTGAAGACTAACAACGGAATGGGGGCCAAGGATGGTACAACGCGCTCGAGAAGGGGCGTCCACCGAGGAGGTGGAGCGGTACGCACTGTTGGCTACGTACGGTGCAAAATAAGTTCAACAAACAGAACATGCAGATGGGGACAGCGTGGGGAGGCCTTCATTCAGAAGTGGATACACCATGGTTGACAATGATGGCGATGATTATCACGAAGGAGACTCCAGCGCACCTGTCTCGTTGATGTCGATGCGGGAGCCGTTTGTGATCTTGTCCAGCAATCGAATGAGACTGACTTCAAAATCTGGAGAAAAACACGGGGAAGTTAATTCGCTCGTGGCAGTGGCAACCCTGCAGAGTTTACAACTCATCAAAAGCATTATTTTATTTTACCAGGTAAGGCCCACTGAGCTATGTAGCTCTTTCAGAGGCAACCTGGCCACAAATGACAACTCAACAAAGTGGCTCAAGACGTGGTAATTTATAGCAGCCAAATACTCTAAACGCGTGATGTTGATTCTAAATGTGGCGTAAACAACCGGAGGACTCGGAGAAAATTACCCGCGATTACGGAGACACGCAAACTCCAAATATACAACAGGCGTCACGGCCGAACCAACGACCTCCTGCATACCAGGCGCGGGAGATAACGTCTAGCCACAGTGGGGCCCACGTATCCCCAGTGTCTCTGCTGAGTCTCACGCTCGGGATCTCACTCCTCCACCTCCTCACCCGCTAGCCCCGGCTCGGAGCCCCGCGCCCTCACGGCGCTGATGGTCACGCTGCGGCCGCTCAGCACGGAGAGGACGAGGCGCGGCCTGAGCCACGCGGAGCCCGAGTAGCGGAGACGAGACTCCATGGAGACGAGGCGAGCGAGACGCAGGGAGAATGAGAGAGGCACGCGGAGACTTGAGGGGAGACGCGAGGAGGGAGTTACACGGGAAGCGAGGGGAGACTAAGAGGCGGCACGTCGTGGCGCGTACAGTAGCAACCACGTGTGGCGCCGCGGGATCAGAGGCCGCGGTCGCATGACGTCACGGCCCGCGCGGCTGACCCCGCCTCTGCGGGGTCGCCGCGATATATCACGATATACAGTACATCGTGTTATATCGCAATATATCGCTTTATACTGTGGGATATTTTGCGATATGCTTCAATGTTTCGTGCGAAATGGCGATATCTTGTTATATCGCTCAATATTATATCGTGCATTATATCGTTCTGTACCGTGCGATATGTCGCGATATATCGCGTGCTATGTTGTTTCACTTCGAGCGTGTCTTGCTCGCTGCTGCTGTGGCGCGGATCTCGTTGCCCGCGTGGCGAGCGGCAGGCGAGGGCTTCGCGATACGAGGCGGCTGCCGAGGATGAAGAAGGTTCAGCTGCCGAGCATGAAGAAGGTTCAGCTGCCGAGGATGAAGAAGCTTCAGCTGCCGAGGATGAAGAAGCTTCAGCTGCCGAGGATGAAGAAGCTTCAGCTGCCGAGGATGAAGAAGCTTCAGCTGCCGAGGATGAAGAAGCTTCAGCTGCTGACGTTGCGACTCCTGGCCGTGTTCCGGCGCTGCAGGTGGGGGGGGCAGCCGCGAGGTTTGGTGGATCACAGACGCCGTGAAGCTCCTTCCCGTGGGTAGGCGTCCAGGAGCCGTAACCCCTCGCTTCTCTCCGGGTGCTGCGGTTTCCTCCCTCCGTGTAAAATATTCATTAATTGGCCAATTACACTTTCACGTATAGAGAGGACTGCAGAGCTTGGAGGGGGAAAATGTATCACCGGCTCCTCGCTGCTGAACTGTTGCCGTCTGTCGTTCTTCTTCCTGGCGCCTCCGGGAGCGAGCGGTGTCATTGCGACGGTGCTAACGAGCTGACATGATAGTTATATCAACAGCAACACGAAGTGAACGAAGAGGGCAAATAAACATTTATTAGAAAACGGAGGATGCGAAGGACACGCGGCCCCGCCACCCCGCGTGGAGGGGAGCCGCACGGAGCGCGCTCGGAACACGCGAGGCCGCCTCGCGCCTGACGAGATGTTAACTACCTCGCGGAGTACACAGGAGGTCGTGGGTTCGAGCCCGACCTGTGAAGCCTGCTGTATATTTGGAGTTTGCGTGTCTCTCTCTCTCCGTGGTGAGATGTTAACTACCTCGCTGGATACACAGGAGGGCGTGGGTTCGATCCCGACCCGTGAAGCCTGCTGTATATTTGGAGTTTGCGTGTCTCTCTCTCTCCGTGGTGAGGGCGCAACACAATCGTCCATCATCAGGTGTGTTGCGCCCGAAACGTCGTGATTTATTGTATTTTATACCTACGTGACTTTACCGAAAGAACCAAAGAGTATAGATTCCTGCAGTCACGAAAGCTTCAAATCAAAATAAAAATAGTAATTAGGAGTCGACGCGGATCTTCACAGGAGCAGCTACCACGAACCTCCTCCGACAATTAGAAATTTACTCCACAATTCGATTCGAGCGAAACATCAATCAAGCGTTTCACCATCCCAAATTTGTAACTGGTCAGGCGCCTCCTTGTCACTCTTCTATAGCTGTGTTGGATATATAGGCCTTTTTTTTAAAAAAAATATATTAATAATACTCTTTAGTTCTATTCGGTAAAGTCACATAGGTAAAAAATAAAACAACAAAAATCACGACGTTTCGGCCACAACACAAGCGGCCTTCATCAGGTGAATGTATCAGGCTGTCTCGAGGACAGCGCTGGAGTGAAACACAGCCACGCTCAGACCGCGACCTTTAAGCTGTGTGCGAGGAAACAAGGTGCCTTGACAAAGGAATTAGCATAAAAATTAGCATTTGATTGGCCGACTTAGCATAGAGGTGGTGTACATGCGGGTGCACATGCCGGTTGGCGCGGGGGGCGGGGGGAGTTTACCTATTGATGGTGTGAAAAGGGAATTTAAGAGCTGGGAAAGTTTGGGGTACCACTACTTGAAAAATATACTGTACCATTGAAAATTAGTTTAATGTTTGGTTCGATTTAGAACATCTTTCCAATGGTTGCTTAATTTGAAATTGTGTCTGTGTTTGTAGATCTGAATTGCCTTGTGAACAAATCTCTGATAAAAACCCGTGGGTTTGCAAAGAACCTTGGTATCGGAGAAAATTAGATCGTGATCACCCACAGCGTTGTAACAATGATCAGCTACGGCAGAAGAATTCGTTTTGCCGTGTTTCAAATCTGATTTGTGCTCGCGAATTCGGTCAGAGACATGTCGCTTTGTCTCCCCGATATAGCAATCACCGCAGGTACAACTCAATTTGTAAACCCCGGGGTACTGTAAGTCAGGAATGACATCCTTCACGGATGGGATCAGATCACGAATTTTGTGTACTGTATTGAACAGGACCTGGATCTTGTGTTTGTTTAGAATTTTGGAAATCTTTTAGTAACGCCTGCTATATATGGTAGTGTGATGGTTTTGACCGGAGTATCAAGTGGTTATTTCTGTATGGAGGGAGAAACAGCTTGGCGGATGGTACGGTCAGAGTATCCATTCCTTTTGAGGGCCAGGTGTACATGTCACGAAAGCTTTAAATCTAGAATTGATATTAATAATATTTGCGAAAATATATTTTTTATAATAATCAATAAATAATAATAAATAAACACCCTCAAACCGACAAGGACCAGCAGCCAGCAGCTGGAGATCGTAAAAGGGCCATTAAAATAATAATAAATTCCGGGGCCCTCACCCCACACACCACAGGAGATGAACAATAAAACCCAGAATCAAAGACAAAAGGGAAGGGGGAATTCCAGGCTTCGGGGTCCCCCCCCCCCCTTTCATCAGCCCGCAGACAGTGTGACGCGACGCGCACAAGCGAGTTTAAACAATTTTCCTCTTCTTTGCTATTAAAACAACGGTTAAAGTTCAGAACTCAACCCAAGGATAAGCTAACATCAATCCTCACACTCACTCCAATTAAAAACCAGGACACAATCTACATCAGTGAATCATTACCCATTTATTAATTCGACACTAAAATGTTATTTTCACCTTTAATAATTTTCTACACGACCTGACCGAAGCATCAAGAATAGTTCTGGCATTCAGAGTTATTCCTAAGTCAAAGTTTATACAATGTTAAATCACAAATCTTGGGGAACATAAACAAATAATAATGATGCAGTGTTAAATTAAGGGTTATCGAGAAGAGATGAGGCAGAATGGGTCGGGCTTACACAGCCAGGATAAACTGTGTTCCAGAGAGACCCCGGTCACCTTTGTCTTCCCGCAGCGCGGGAGAGCAGGAATTAACACCAGAGCGAAGGAATTACTCTTTATCGCGAGGGACATCTGCGCCCACGGAAGTGCGGTGACTTAATAAATAACACACAGCACACCACCCCACTACGCAGAGCGAGATCAAAGGAATTCCTCATGGCCTGGCAGCTTCCAGACAGCGAAGCGAGCAGACAAGTAATTAACACGAAGCCCGGCCACAAAATACACAGTGTCATACATAACATTAATGCTAACGTTATTCACCTTAAATTACGATACACCTTGCCCGCTACCCGACCTCGCAAACACCAAGGAATACAAATTCCAACAGTCAAGGAACTTACACCTTAAACTCAGGATATAAAAAATAATAATAACTCCATCATAACAATGCAAATCTCTGTATACAGACGGGGAGACGAAAATGAATGAAACCCGAGACATGCGTCGGGATGACAGTGTTACAACACAAATTAAACCCTGAAACATAGACCCAAATAATATTTGTGCAGGTTAAACCAAGAGCCAGCCAGAGAGAGAGAGCCTCCCGGCCATCTGTCTTCCAGCAGCACGTGATAAGAATTTACATACACCAGCGGATCATCTCCTCGTGAAAATAAAAATCAAATACCATGATGGAAAACTACTACAATACCTTGAGTCACAGACAGAATCGTAACTGTGAGTGGTACGGTACCAAAATATGATAAAATAAATGTTAAACTTTAAAAGCCTCAACCCACCCTTTGTGTGTTGAGAAATGTGGGCGTCAAGAAATGAGGGCTCGATCGGACGGAAGGCTAGCTCCTCCCCCCAGATTGTATAACGCAGTCAAAGGGACGCCTTCAGGGCAATCTGGAGCATCTGTTCCTTCTGATGGTTTATGGCTTGAGGAAGGCAACGAACAGAACCATGCCATAAATGACACGCACACATACAACAACAACAACAACCGCCATTCGCCACTAAGTGGCGGTGACGTCACCACGACGCTTGTGCCAGGCTATGTGCACCCTGAGGCCACGTGAAGTGTCGAACGCCCGCTGGCAGGAGGTCACGGGGCAGACCCAGGTGCCACGGGTCGACTGACTGAGATGACTGGCTGATGCACCACCTGTGCCCCCTACTGTGCCAACCTGCTGTGCTTTAGCCACCTGGCGCTCCGCTCGTTGTTGTGAGCGTCGCTCCTCCGCCCTCCGTTGTTGTTGGAGGGCGACTACCTCCAACTGCCCAGTAGCATCCTTGAAGAGCCTCCTCCACAGAGGCCGATCTTGACACCGCTGGTACCAGTCATCGGCAAGTCCACTCAGCTCCATGTCCTCCTGTACCACATCACTCCATCTCTTCTCTAGCCCGTGCCGCGCCCGATTGCCCCCTCAATCCGGCTGAACAAAAGCTGTTTCGGCATGCGGTGGCTGGGCATGCGGGCTACATGACCCAGCCATCGCAGCCTTGCCCGCCGGAGGAGCTCACCGATGGGACCTTGCCCAGATCTTTCAAGGATTTGTGAGCTCCTCACAATCCAGTCTGGTTAAACCCAGGATGGATCGTAGGCAGGCCAGCCTAAATGTTTCTAACCGGCGAAGATGTTCCATTAGGGGGGTCCACGTTTCGCAAGCATAGAGAAGGGAGGGAATGACCGTGGCCGAGAAGACCTGAAGCTTAGTGCGGAGCGACAGACCAGGTAGCTTCCACACAGCGTTACGCAACCGATGAAAAGATATTGCCGCTCGACTGATTCGGAGTGAGACCTCTGCTGTTAAACTGGAGCCAGTCATAAGCACATTGCCCAGGTATGGGAAACTCTCCACTCTCTCCACAACTGCCCCATCACCGATCGGGAGTTGTGGGGGTGGAGTGTCCGATGGTACAAAATACCCAGGCAGGTGCTTTGTTTTGGTGGGGCTGATGGTAAGGCCCCACTTCACACATACACACCCACGGACACACACACTCCAACCCCACGACACACAGCTAGATCAAAAGGAACTCCGCCCCTTGTGAGGAGGCGGAGCCAGAAGGAGAAATTTTTACATAAAAGAGAGGCCCGCGAGCATTGAAATCAACTCGGCAACCAGCGGAGAAGACGGCGACCATCAGAAGATTAGCCACCACCGACGCAGAAGAAGACTCTACAACTCGCCAGAATGGCGAGACTCGCTAAAAGCACTCCGCTCTGAACCTCGACTCTCAAGAATCACTGCAGACTAGCGAAGCTGACGAGAATTCCGGCATCAGCCACCAGAGAGCGGAAAGGGTCAAACGTTGACCAAACCGGCCATCAACGAACGGAGCCATAATTCATCGCCAGAGAGCGCGTCAACGGTGAGCACCGAGTCAGCTGCCAGCGGGCAAACTACGAGCGCCATCTGCCGACGGATCATCGCGCCTACAGCGCACCGTGTCAACTCGCCCACCTGCTGCGGGGCCGAACTCTGGCCGACCGCGTGAAAGAAGGAAAACCCCGCTATTTGTATGATATGCACTCTGCCCCACACTGCCACCACATCACCTTGTGTCTGCTTGATGCAAGGAATTGATTCCGAACACTGGCCCACTTAACCCAATCCATATCACTCAACACATACACAAATCATTAACAAGGAGCTTAATCATCAAGTACGTGAACAATCAGTGGCCGCGAAGGCATCGCGGCTCACCGAGTGATGAGAATACGTCGTTTTAAGTACATTAATATTTTTCTTCTGGGTTCTTTCGGTAAAGTCACATGCTAATTTATAT